CTGAGGCTATTGTCACAGCACAGCCATCTTTATCAACCGGATTGTTACCAAGTTCTCTCTGACACTTCGTGATTTACGGCACAGCCACCAAAAGTGTTTATACGTCGCGTGTTTTTAAATGTACTCAAATCGAGTAAATAACATCGCATTTCTTTCTTCGTTAAACAATAATAAGTAACTTTATGCAGCCAAAGTTTTTTTTGAGAAGCTAACAGTCTCTCAGCTAGTCAAGAAATATTTCTACCTTTTATTATACCGAAGGTTCATTACAGTCTTCACAACAGCTCGTCACCGTTCCCCATCCTGTGCCAGATAAATCCAATCAGCAACCTTCAAAACCTGTTTCCCGCCCAAGACGAATTTTAATATTATCCTCCCATCTACACCTCCGTCTTCCCAGTTGGCTTCCTAAAAGTGCCACATGAAAGTTAATGACAAAAACAAACGTGTAATTACATCTGAGAAATGGGCGGAATTACGAACGAAGAGAGGAGGATGATATTAAGACTGATCTTAAATAAATGTAGTATGAGTACTCCCCGGATTTAGTCTGTGAAGGAACGACAGACAGACAGACAGAATGCGTAACATCAAAAGAATCGGATGGTATTTTCAACACAGCAGATGAGACACGATTACACTTACTTCAGCGTTTGTACAACCCTTTTCCAATTTAATTCCAATCTCTCGCCCTTGCATGGTAATTTATTTCATTTTATTCCAAAGCCTGAAGCACTAATTCATTTTCAGGCGGAGATACATCAGCAATATAAATGCCTGGTCAGAAAAATTCCTTCCACCACGAAAATAAAAAAAACTTAAAAAAAAACTTATTCTACGAGAAGCTAGTTGAGATCCCCTGGGACGTATGTAGTTGTAATGACAGAAAAGATCGATTCAATTCAAAGTCGATTAATGCAAGAAACGATCAAGCACGCAACATAAGCATCGTATTTCTTTGTTAAAATATTTTCCTTCCAGTCGGTATTTATTAAATGATGACTCATCATTCTGACAGGCTTACATTTAAATTAAATGTTTGAGATCTGACGGGGCAGGAACTATCAGTCTTGCGTTTAGAGAGGAGAATGTCCGCCTCTGTGGTGGCCGGCCACACCTGCAGACCGTGGGTTCGCTTCCTGGCTCGAATTTTAAATAAATTTACAACTTTCGGCCTACGACTTATCGGTGCACCATCCGGGAAAATAATTGTTTAAGACGTGGATCCGCGTGTGTCAGCCGACGAACTTGGAAAGTATTTCAGATTGCGGCCTGTGTCCTGGGCTTTGAAATTGTGCTTCGGGGGAATATGATGCCTCCATC